GGACATAGCCTCAGTGGGTAAAGTCACAGTGGCTACTTTCTTCTTTTATATACAGTATATGCTTAAACATAGAGCCACAGTCAGGAGAAGACTGGTTTACAATCACTGAACGAGTGGAAGCAGGGATAAAATACAGCACCTAACACTAAAGATTAAAGATGACTTGATTCTTTTATATCAGCAAAGTAAAATGTAAGAGCATCTTTTTCCCCCAAATGTATCGATACCTACCAAGGAATCATGATACTTGTAACCCTTGTCACTGATACTGTTGTATGCTTACCAGTTTTTGTAATCCGATTACTATAATTGGAGTATGTTTCTCCAGCCTCCCCCATCCAATTAGCCCTACTATACATATCTGCACTACTAATTGTATTTCACACAAATGACATTTTTTTAGCAAATACTTTTTCTTCTTCTGCTTTTTAATTTTTTCACAAGGTGTGATATTTATAAAATAAAATGTGACTTGTTACGGGAGATGCTTTTTGAACATTTGTCTGATTCACCACAAAAGAAGCGCAGGAGTCAAACTGCGTGCAGCTGGATTTATATATTTTCCCCTCACACCTCAAAATAACAATTTCTGTCCATCTGCAAAAAATATTTCATCAAAAACACCAGAAACAAATATAACAGTCCGTTTGAATATTGCAGAAGAAAAGATGCTGTTTCAGAAGCTTAAAACTTTGTTACTGGATAATTAATGGAAACCATTTTTTTTAATTATTATTATTTATACATTATTAAGTTTTAAGAACTTATCCAGGCTGCATGTCCACACATGAACACGTGGGTCTTTTATTTATGAGATTCCCAATTTAAACAGTCCGATCTCATGCAACAACGGAAAAAAACAAAACAAAAATTCTTTGATGTCCTTTAACCAAACAAAAGGTTTTTCCTCTCAAAAATCAAATCAGGTTCTGTCCCTCACTTCCTCTGCGGTCCGTCACCGTCCTCGCTCTCATCTGCCAACCTTGCCCAGCCGGTGGTCTGTCTTGGGGTCGGCTATGATGGCCTGAACAGCTACGATGGCCTCGTTGATCTTGGTTTGCAGCTCCCTCAGCTCCTCAATGTGCAGCAGGCGCAGGATCTGAGCCGCTTCGTTTAGAGTTGCATCTGAGGAGAAAAGACAGAAGTTTTACCAAAATCTGACCAATACTTTAAGAGAAGCAATTCTTGTGAACTGTGGGCAGACTGAACGTCATAGCATTTGCTCATCGGCTTTCAGCCTTTCTGCTGAAAAAATTAATTAAATAAATAACTCACCTCCAGTGTCAAAACCCAAGATGTGCTTGTCTAAAGCTACTGGAACACCCTGTAGGAAAAAAAAAAATATAGCTGGCTGAGTTTTGTCAGTAACGCCGCTGAAATCATGACTCTAGACTTGCAGCAGTCTATACACAGACATATGATTTTTGATGCATATTATGCACATGTGTCTTCACTTTACCTCTCTATTGTTGCTGGCTTTAGCAATGGCTTCAGGAGAAAGTCTCTCTTGGATCAAAATACGAATAGCCTGGCAGTTGCAAAGAAAAACAAGAAA